CGCTCTGATTCGATTCGAGCCAGTTACGGAGTAACTCGTCGGATCTTTCATCAGAAGGAAAGTGCTTGGTCATGCCCATTACACAAACGTTAATCTATATGTATTTATCTTAGCGCTGTTGCACCGATTTTTAGCTACGTAACGAAAATAGAAAAGAAACGCGACCAATATGGCCATGAATCCCTGTTATTAAAATAAAATATGACTCCGACCGAGATATACTTTATGTTCTGATAGTACTGAAATGCGGTTTCATCGTGAAACGCGTAACGGTCCTTGCGGTTTTTGTAAAACAATTCAGTTTCGCTTTGTGTTAGCTTTGTATGCAGGTGAATTTGGCATACTCTTGAAAACGTTTTTTCTTTCTATTTTCTTATTATATTCGATTTGATTTAGCAATATTCTCTCTCCTTTTCTCTCTTTTTCGATGTCCTATGTATAATCACGACTTTCCCTCGAGAAATTAAGTGGGCGCCTATTTTTGCACAGGAACTCTTTACGCTCTGTTCTACGTATAAGTGCATCTCCGGCGTGTGACGTAATTCATTCATTCACTCATTCATTCATTCATTCGTTCATTAAGTTCGGGCCGCGTGGGAGAGGCCGGTGCTCTGATAAGTATCGTAGCAAATGCATTAGGTCACTCTTAGGATTTTTACTTTTATCGCTAATTTCTATTGTTTCAAGATTTTTTTAAAAAAGAAAAGTCGATTTCTAGCAGTTTAAAATAAAAATTTTAAATTTATTCGCTTTTATATTTTTAATTCGTGAAAAGATTCGATTGGATTTATTTTTGAAATTTATCGATTAGAAGATTATAAGTGTTTAAAATAAAGCTTAAAGTATTTTCGTGCTTTAAATTTAATTTGTTTAACGAGATTTGATTGGATTAAAGTTGCAAACAATATGATTTATTATTGATTAAAATACGCATGCTTTAAATTTAAAATATATATTTATATTTAAAATTATTTATATTTAAAATTATCGAGGTTTACTTTTATTTATTTAATTAAGTAAAGAGAATTTTCTCTTTTACACTTATATAAAAAGATTTAATTATCTATATTATCATATAATATGATATATTATATAATATATATTATATATATTATATAATATACCTATATACCATCAAATCAAATTATTATTTATAATTTCTAATGTGAAATAAGGAAATATATTAATATCATCGATCATTTTTCTTCTATATCAAATGTCTGGTCGACGAACCAGGATGCCTTGGACCTCCCCTGTAACAAGAATTAGGAGGTCGGTCGCCGAAATGTCAGACAAGTAAAACCTGATTCGGGAATGCCGGTCGGCATCAGCGGCGATCACAGAGATCCTTTTTTTCTTTTTGCCATTTTTTCTTTCCTCCCCTTCTTCATAACATATATCCTATAATATAACCTCTATATCGGAATTCTCTCTTTGAATAAATTGCAAATTTCAAATTCCATCAGGCTCTCCTTGATATTATATACACGTGTCCCGATAAAAGAGCGACCGATTTCTCCACAAAGTTCTCAGATAAGAGATGTAAAATGACCTAACCAGTCGGTCGATATCGCTTGCGAACCGGAAAAAAAAAAAGCGCAAAGAGAGAAAGAATCGGGAGTAAATATCTCGTTGTCCAATTAAAAATTCGAAATTGGCCGGAACGTGACGTGGGAAAGAGAGAAAGACAATATATCGCCGGTTCACAACGCTCTCTTTCACGTTTCTCCCGCGCACCCCGACATCGCGGCACTCCTTCCTCTCTCCACTCGATCGGTGCGGCAGCTCACCGACGGTTCTCTCCTTTCTTATTGCATTTCTCGTACTCCTGAGGCGGCATGCCAGCCTGCTCTCTCGAGTCGATCGAACGAGAAAAAGAAAAGGAGGGAGAAAGAAAGAGAGAGAGAGTGAGAGAGAGAGAGGCCCTTGAAGAGAGACAGTGATCCAGAAAAAGAAAGAGATATATCGGACAGAGAAAGAGGTAACGAAGAAAAAGAAGAAGGGGGAGAAGTGAACGGAAAGGAACGGTGGAAGGAAAGAGACGGACGTAAAGGACAGGAGTAACTGGCATTTTCTGTGAGTCAATCGACCAAGGAAAAAGGAGAGACGGTGGAGATGAGGTGATACCTCTTTTCCGCATCTTCCCCTTTTCTCTCGCGTGTATATAAGGATAGAAAAGCGCCATCGGTGATACGTCAATAATAACGAAGATCGTCTCTCGTATAATACATATATATATATATACATATATATATATATATAGTAACTGTGCGAACATCGATGTGCATCCCGTTCCGTGGGCGGATCTCGTCGAGTGGGCAGGGCTTTAATGGTGTCTGGTCACCGGGTCGTTTCCTGGCTACTATCCTCCAGATACGTCTGCCGTATTTCGTATCTCGCGTAGGTTGTTATCCAAGGTAGTATCTCGCGGTATACTTCCCAAGTGCATCCGTATATTGAACGCGACACGTGGGGTGCATATATATATAATATATATATGCGTACATACACACACACACGAACATAGAAGCCGGTGAGACCTCGTAATTGGACTTGGCCGTCGGGGTAGTAACGCGTGTTATGGTTTGTGATTTTTCTGAACAAGGCACGTACATTCTCTCCTGCTACTTCGTTAATCCTTTTTGGCCGGTTTACTCTTGCTACAATTCGAACGGAATAGAAAAATCAAGATCGCCAAGATCATCCTTCTTCCCTTAACCGATTACCGAGGTGAAACGGGAGGTGTGGTATGGTGACTGGCCGTGGCTGGTCGTTAACGTTACGACCTTAAATCAAAGGGGTTGTCCAAGTTGGTATTTAAAGTAAAGAGTCGGTCGGAAGAATTTAACGAGGCAATTAGAAAATTCGTCGAGTACCCGGGAGAAAATCCATGGATCGTTCGGCTTCTTGCACGCAACGCGCCGATTTCTGTGTCCCCCGCGAACCGTTTCTCGTGGAAAGAACGATGCCCATCGTTGTTAGTTTTCTATGTGTGTGTGTGTATTTCGTGACTTTCGAGCCGGTACCAGGAGAGAAAGAGAGAGAAGAAGACAAAGAGCATTTTACAGGTCGCGAGCGCGCTCACTTTCGTAACTGGATTGGATGAGTCGTCGGCTGGTAGTACCGTGGAGGCATCAGCCGCGAGCGCGAGCCCTGGAGCCTTGGGCACGACGAGATTTATGGCTTCGGCTCATATACGGATATGTGTGTACATCGAGTGACCAGGAAGAGAAACGTGCCGTCACGTTCGCATATGTGGCTCCGCTTAAAGGGATTGTCATCTCGGGATACTTTGAACCGTGGGACTCGTTCGGGCCTAGAGTTCCACGAAAAGTAATTTCATGTCGCGGCTCTCGCTTTTTACTCCACGATATAATTGGAATTCAGTCTGGCTGAGATGTTGGAGGCCAATCGAAAACATGGACCCAACCTTCTTTACAGAGAGAGAAGGATACACAGATCGCACACAAGAGATCCTTCAAGATTACGTACAAAATATACGTAAAAAATATATATATGTATATATAACTCTTGGATAACCGGATGTTTGCTCACTTTTGACCTATATGTTAAACGAAGAAGTAATCTAAAGTTGAATTATTCTAGATAGTTCTAGATTCTATTTTATCATTTTTGATCCACGGTCAGAATGGAATGGAATTAACGTTTTACATATTTAAAAGACTATGTTTTTTAAATGGAACTTGTGTTACGTAATCCAGAAAAACAAAAAAAAAAATTGATGATCCATGAATGACGAATTAGCACGACATTCGGGTTGAAGAGTTGGTCACGGGTCAATTCGCGATGCGAAGCACGCGCGTACATTTCTAGCTGAGCTTTGCATATATATACTCCTCATATCTGACGCTTATCTCCTGTGGAGAGAAGTAACGGGTCATCAGACGGTCGGAGACCTACATATCGTATATAGCCGGATACGCGAAACTCGAGCGCGCGTAGGGGGTATTCCTGGCATTTTCCTCTGCAATCTTTTCCCCTACGAGCTTTTGCGTCAATGAGGCAGCCCGGCGAGTCGATATCTCGCGCCGGCTGAATCATGGAACGTGTAACAGCCTTCGATGGTACAGCATTAAACTCTCTCCTCTAACCGTACCACCGATGGCGTGCTGTCTACTTACTTTCCCCTTGGACTATAGCGTGTAATGGAATTTTCACGCCCTTCCCGCGGCGAATGGCCAGATTAGCATTCGCGTTTTATATCTCGAAAGCGTACGTACAATGCTCTCCTCCGCATTCTGTTCCGATTTTTTTTCTTAATGCGCCTCTTGGGCGATCGTGATTGTTCGCGTAACGGAACCACCTAACGCCAGGCTAAATTCCATAATTTCTATGTAGACCTCTTTCTGAAGTAGTCCAGTTCCCGATCACTTCCCCACAGACACTTGTCTAATTTATCTCCGAACGAGATCAAAGAAATTTCTACACGGTACGTTCACTTCCAAAGCGAGCCGAGGCCGTGTTGCACAGCCACGGTAACCGGTGTTCCGTACATTGTATTTTCTCTCGCCTGGAAATATCTCCTCTCACCGCCCTCTGGAAATATTCGGCTGGCCAGACGAGTGCCGCGCCCTGTGCGAGGCGCACAAATCAAAACGTGTAATCAGCCAAAAGGGATTTGTCCGGGAAAAAATGGCGCTGGACCCTCCATCCGGATACAGTACCATCACTCGGCTCGTATGAGAGAGAGGAAGAGAGAGATAGAGAGAGAAGAGAAGGAACGGAAGATGAAAAGAGAGCAGGAGAGAGAAGACAATATATCCATAGTGCCTAGAGGAGAAAGAAGAGAAAGGAAATT